AAATAACAAAACCAAAATCCTCATACTTTCAGGCATGTTGAGATGGTAGAACTGATTTTGCCGCTCAGTTTCTGTCCATCTGTCTCCTATCTGCTGCTTCAAGAAAGCTCCATCTCACAATACTATAGCTGATCTAGAGAAGTTGGGTCCAGAGGAGGGCCATGAAGATAATGACAGGAACTCTTCTCTTATCACTGGAACACTTCTCTTATGAAAAAGGTTGAAGGAACTGGGCTTGATTAGCTTGGAAAAGAGAAGGTTCCAGGGAGACCTCATTGCGGTCTTTTAGTACTCGAAGGGAGCGTATAAACAGGAGAGCAAACAACTTTTGAGAGTTGCTGTGAAAGTGCTTATAATTGAATTCTTTCATCATAAGAAAGTTATTTAGAGCAGTATTATTTAATGCATATTTAATGCAAATACGTGATAATTGATGTTAGGTATCTATATGCCTTTTCTTTCTTTTGAACACAGGAGTGAAAAACCTGTTAACACAGGTGAACCAACTGCTACTTGAATCTCTGTTTTTACATCAGGTGCCCTTTCTCTGCTCCCTATCAACAGCAGCACAGGTCACACAGTTTGTGAAGAGATCCAAGTCAGAACACATTCACTCAGTGCTTAACAAAAACCTCTCTGTGGTATGTCCAAGGTATTGCCACTCTAATCTTCTGGTAATCTATAGGAAAACTTTCATTGCCAGACAATATCTGACTAGCAAGTTCTGCTGCCAGAACTTTGGCTAGGTCACGAGTTACTGACGTTTTTATGTCCCTGGAGCATGTGTGTTCATCTCTGCTTTTCTGAGGTGCTGCATGCCCCCATGGCGAGAGACTGTAAGAGCAAAAGGCTGTTGCACACTGGGTAAGAACCCAGGGCTTGCAGACACCAACACTGCTTCATTCTTGGAACATGTACACTGTGGCATGCTGCTGTTAGCTATATGTTGGCTTGTGTTATTCAGAGAAGAAATATCACTTCAGGAAGAGAGACTGAATTTTCTTGGCTTACATCAAATTAGTTTGAAACCGCATAGAAGCTCAGGGCAACTAATGCAGACTTCTGACAGTAAACCTGTATAGCACTGCACACAAAGCAAGCATGCCCTACCAACCTACCGCTTTCAGGTGTTCTGTTCTCTCCAGATGAACTTTCTTGAGACGTGAAAAAAAACAGTCTCCGACACAGTAGCAGAAATGGTAGCAAAACTGCATAGAGAGATGGATGCCACAAGGTGCTGGCTGCCTTCCTTTCAGTGTCTCTACCTTTTTCTCCACTATGTGCACTATTAGGATATATTAATTTGCTGCCAGGCTGCATGAATGGAAAGACACACAAGTCAAGGTCAAACCTGAACACTTTTTTTCAGAAAGACCTGAAAAGCAGCACTTCTTGGAAACTTCAGAATATTTCTTTTCAGCTCCTTTAACTGAAAAGAAGAGGAAATAAAAGCTGAAGTCTACATTAATTAGCAGTCCATACTTTCTTGAGTATAGCAGAAAGAAAGCTACAAAAGACAGTTGAAATGAACAAAAACTTCCCAGTAGTACTGAAATAAAGTGCAAACCTAAAGGAGACTCTTGGGAGACAAAGTAAAAAAAAAAAAAAAGGAAAATAATTCAGTAAAATAAACAAATGTCATAAAATATAAGTTGAGAGCATGCTTCTGAACAAGGGGAGCTGGTATATCAGTAATTCCTTCAGGCTGATAGAGTGTGCTCCCACTTCAAACACCTTTTGTGTCTGTACCTGTGCTGGCAGCCTTTCAAAGAAATCTCACACTTTTTTCCCTCCCCCTCCCGACTTTGCATAATAATTAGTGTGTGAACATGCTTGTGATTTCTTTATTATTTTAATACAGTCGCATTGTAGAGACTTCAGTGAAGTTCCAAATGCCACTGAAGCAGCCCTTGCTCCAGAAAGTATGTAGCATAAACAGACTGGAAAAAAGAAGCACAGAGAAATAGTATCATCTCTATGCCATGCAGGGAAAAGCATGTACCAAGCAGCTGTCACTAGAAGAGATTCAAGATCTTTTCAGCCAGTGCCCCGTGTCCAACAGCAGATTGCACCAGTTGCTTCATACACTGTGTAATAGAAGGTGAAAAAATCCTGCAGTAAGAAGTGTCATCCATCCTCACATTAGATTTCAACCTCCTTTCGAGGAGTTAGATACAGGCTTATTCCCTGAAGCACAGTTACAATCACATAATTCTGATTATTTTTTACATTCATACAGGTATGTATATATATATATACAAAGGCAATCCCTGTCTCGAATATTAAATTAGTTTTTTACTCTGACACTGTTCCTAGCAGTGTCATCATAGCAGCCCTCTCAAGATACATCCTTATGGGTAACTTCAAGCACCTGAATAATCTTAATAAGTTCACATGCATGCAAGATTGATCTCATGGGTGACTTTGGGGGCAGGGGCTACAGTTTTGCCCAGTGCAGTATACAAAGTCTGAGAAACTGAACACAGGCCTCTTCAGCTCCAGCCTCTCCCTGATTTAAAATTATAATCCCTAGGAGGGAAGAACAATAATCTGAAAGTGCGAAAGCTGCGAAGTAAAGGAAAACAAGATAATGCATTTAGTGAATAATACAAAATATGAGAAAATAGTGTAAGAGATGGGCGTGATAGAAATACCTTTCCTGAGGCTAAGTGGGTATTGATTTATTTCAAACCCATAAACAGAACTGTGCATGTTCCTGGCTGAAAAGGAGCAGGGTGGAGTTCTAGGTTGTGTTAATACGTCTCTTTACACATTCTCATTTATTGCTTCACAAGGAAAGACAGCAGCAGATGTGAGCAGTGTGTTCTTCTTTTCCCTCTGATCGGGGATTAGTGACAGACATGTCTAGATTTCTCCATCCTTCTGACTATTTGATGAGAGGGAAACAAGATAGCTCATTATCACTCATCCTTCTAACTCCTTGGCTGTGCAAGCATTATTAAGGGGAGCTAATTCAGGAAAAATTAACTGGAAATCAGGTTTGGGAAGTAATTTAATTGAAGGGGGGTGGGGGGGGGGGGGGGGGGGAATGAAATGAACAGAGAAGGAATCAGTCACAAGGAACCAACCTAGATTGTAAATTCAAATGCAACTGTAATTTTACATTAGCTCCTTCTTTCAGGTCTGTCCTCCATTCTCTTTCTCCTTGGAAGCAAAAGGGAGATCCATGCATTGGTGGTTAAGTTTCAGAATTTGTGGGGGCAATAGCCAACCTTTGAGAATGGAATATATTTTTGCAGGATGCCCAACCACTGACTTACAACCTCAATCACTGTATATAATTTCTTCATGGAGTCCTTGCCTCTGACACAGCCTATCAGGGAGGATATGTGGAGAAAAGAAGGCTGCAGGGTGACCTCATTGCAGCCTTTCAGTACCTAAAGGGAGCCTACAAACAGGAGGGGTATCAACTCTTTGAAAGGGTAGATAACAGCAGGGCAAGGAGAAATGGTTTTAAGTTGAGGGAGGGAAGTTTTAGGTTGGATGTCAGGGAGAAGTTCTTTACTATGAGAGTGGTAAGGTGCTGGAACAGGCTGCCCAGAGAGGTTGTGGATGCCCCATGCCTGGAGGTGTTCAAGGCCAGGTTGGATGGGGCCCTGGGCAGCCTGGTCTAGTATTAAATGGGGAGGTTGGTGGCCCTGCCTGTGGTGGGGGGGTTGGAGATTCATGATCCTTGAGGTCCCTTCCAACCCTGGCCATTCTGTGATTCTGTGAAGAGGCAGAAGGGCAGGCAGATCTCTAACAGCAATTTATTAACAGTTCCATTTAATCAGTTATTTCCCTCAATGGAACGGGGCTCTCGAGGACTACAGCAGTTTGAATGAAACGCAACAGTGCATCCCACGGAAGTACTCTGAGACCTATGCAGGAGAGGACACTGCAAGAATGTGCCATCTAGATTGCCCACTGAAAAGCACAGGTGAAACACAAGTGCCTCCTCACCTCAGACCAATAGAAGGGAGATTTGGGCCCGGGGAACAGCCAGTATCTTGCAGTGCCTCTTTCACATCCTTCCCCAAATTACCGCTCATTAGCACTGCAGTCTTTTCACTCATGGAGAGCGTGAATATTATAACACCGCGTTGAATTTTAGAGGGAAATTCTTCACGGTCTTCCTGATAGAGCACCTTTTTGGAACTGCACCAAGGGCTTTGATCCTAAAACACTTACCTCCAAGCACTAGAGCAGTGCCATTGTCTTCAATGGAACTAATCAAGCGCTTAAATTCAAGCGTCTGCAGATTAAGACCCGTGTTTGTATTTTCAGATCTTATCTACAGAAGAAATCGCACCCATTTACCCAAGCGCTTTTATAAACACGCCTTTATTGAGATGAACGCGGCGCTCTTTGCGGATGGGCCGCGCTGTGCACAGCGGTGCCCGTGCCCCGTTCCCAGCGGCACGGAGACGAGCGACAGCTCTGAACGCGGTGGATTTACGCCGCCAGTGTTTTAATTACGGCGTCAAATACCCGCCGGCCCAGGGCTGAGGGCAGGCAGAGGGGCCGACCTCGCCTCACTGCAGCCCGGAACAGCCGCTCGAGCCCCGAGGCGGCTCCGGCCGAACAGCACCGGCGGGCCCGGCCCGTCCCCCTACTCCGCCCCGCGGCTGCTTCCTCCCCTCCTCTTCCCCGCCGTCCCCGGCAGGCCCGGCGAAGGCGGGGGCTCTGTTGGCGCCGCTGGGGCTGCTCGGGGAAGGTGCGTGTTTGCTCCCCTCCTTCTCTTCCTCCTCTCCGCGGGGAGCCGAGCGGGGCGGGACGGGAGAACGAGACAGCCGCAGGGAAGCGCGTGCCCGCGCTCCTTGTCCTGGCTGGAGGCAAGGAGGGCCGGCGGGCCGCCATCGCGGGGCCTCGGCCGGGCGCTGCCCTGTCACCTCCTCCTGCCGCCCGCTCGCTCTAGCTGCGGCCACACCGAAATGGCGCCCTGCCTTCCGCCTGCCCTGCCTGGGGCCGGCGGGTCAGAGTCCTCGGCCCGGCCCCTCTGCCCTTCCTTCTCTGGAGGACAGATGGCTGTGTACTGGTGGCTCTGCGGGCCGCCCTGCGCAGTCAGAAGTAGTACATTCCTTCGTCTCTCTTGGAGGAAATTAAAAAGTGTGTCGATTGGCCATAGCCATGTGCTTCAGGGATGTATGGTCAGTGCTAGGTGAGGCATGGCTGCTCAGGGCTCTCCTGGAAACAGCTGGGCTGAAGAGAACGTTGCTCTGAAAAATGTCACCAGACACAAAACTCGCAGGTATCAGATGAATCGCATAGTTGGGCTTTATGGCACATCGTGGCGAAGAAATCCAGGCATGGAAAATGATACAGTGCTTCTGAGTAGGAAGTACTAGAAACTAGTACTATTTAGGTTTGTTTTGGCAGGGCTTCATTGTTCAAAGACTGCGTTTTCCAAGTTGATGTGAAAGAGGAAAGTATGTAAGAGAGAGAGTTTTATACTAATGTATGAAATTATACACATATTTCGTAGAACTGCTAAGAATATGAAAGAAAAATGAAATTAAAAAAAAAAAAAACAAGAATGAATTTTGCAAGCTGAAATTGATTTTTTAAAAGAAAGTATTTGGTATGGAGGAGCTTTTCAATCTGGTGGCTGTATCTGGCAAGTTGCAAGTCAACTCTTGTGTACTACTGAAGAGAAGGTTCAAAATTCACATGTTGGATTTATGTTTAATTGATGGCAGCTTGCCTCTGCCTTCAAGCTGCAGCACCTTGGGACCTGACTTTTCCAGGTGCTGGAAGAGTACCCAAAAGGCTGCTCAGGAAGGGCCATGCACGTTCACCAGCTGGAATCCTGATTTTGTGGGTTTGAGTTTTAAAAAAAAAAAATTGTCTGTCTGGTTTTCATTCAGTTCAAAATTAGATTAATTTTTACTGTTTCTGGAAACTGTTCCACATCTGGTTGCCTTTTTGTATTGAAGCACAGTAAGAGTGTATTAATCTGTTGATGAGAGGGGAGTGCGTGGGTGTTTTCTCTCAGAGAGCAATCTTTGCTATGACTGGAGAACAGATTCCCTGTGTGGGAATGAAAGGACTGTTTACATCTATGTCTTTGTTTAAAATGTACCTTTTTTTTTGCTTGAGACAGTAGGGTTTAAGCCAGGATGACAAGGGTTAGCCTTGTTTTTTCTTTGCTTACTTTTATGCAAGGACAAAGGCTGTTGTTAAAAGCCATTCTCATGCTTATCTCCTACCCCTCCTTGGAACACCTTCCAGTCTTGTCTGATGTTCCTTCTGTTAGATTATTATTTTGAATAAGTTCCACAATGCATCTTTCCCCAAAGAAACCTTGCAAAGCCTACCGTATCTGTGAGAGGTCATAAGCCTTGTTTCCTCGTAAACTTTGACTCATTTCTTCAGACGCATCTGCTCTATCTTAAATAGCATGTATGAGTTGTGCTTTACAATCAGTGTTGCTTTGCTCAGCTTCAGACTTTGAGATGAAGTCTGTACAGATAAACTTGGATCAGAGCCGCTGCAGCTTTACAGTTTCATACTAAGCCTTTGTCTTAGTCGATCTTGTTTCTTGGTGTTTAAGATACATATAATTCTTTTGAACAGCAGAACAATAAGATACTAAATCAGATAAGAACAGATTGCAAAGGAAGAACAACCTGGCATTGACCTCTTTTGGGAGACATCTGTCAGTAAAAGCTCATATAAATTCTTTTTTGTTTTATAACGTGGTTTTGCAAATGCCTGCATGTCTTTAACACCGACTCGGCAAAGGAAGCGACTTACGCAGCCTTTTATTGTTGATACAATTGCAGAAACTCATAATGCTCTTGGGATTCATTTATCTATTCCTGCTATAGCATATAAACTTTCTTGTTTCAAGATTGAAAACTTTGTCTTGTCATTTCTTCCTTCTTTCCCAGTTGTGGGAGGATGAAAATGAAGGATGGCAGTACATCTAAGAGATAGCAGCTGCAGGGGTGAAATATTTTGCTTAAAAAAGTACTTTGAGCTTAGAAATGTACAAAACGATTACAATCTTGAAGTTCTGCAGTTCTTTCTATTCTGTCTGGACAGAAAATATTATCTGTCAAAAACTTCATTGCAGTAATCTTTCATGTTTTTGTTACCAAATGTCTACAATAATCTCGAGGTACTAAAATAAATGTAAGTTCTTCCTTCATTTGACCCCTCAGTCACTTACATTTTTCACTCTGATAGCAGTAGTGAATTTTTGGCTCTGATTTGTAATCTTCTAAATGCCAATTACTTGGTTAAGTCAAAAGTTCTGGCAGAATCTGCAGAAAACGCTCTAGTCTTTTTTGTTTCAGTTTTACAATAGAAGACAAAACTGTATGTCAGCTTGAGAAAAATGTTAGCCTTATTATCCCGTAGTTTTAGAAATGATATTTGGGCATTGTGATCCTGCAAGAGGCATGGTTTGGGTTTTTTTTTTTTTCTTTGGGACCAAGAGAATGTACAGGAACTGTTTGTTTTGTTCTGTTCTAAACGGAGAGCATTGAGACACTCAGCTCATTTGGATTCCGTATTTCCGTCCAGGTATGAAGAATGGTAATATTATCTTAGAGTCTTTTAAATCTAGCTAACATAGGTCTGTTTGAAGAATTTTCTCCACGGTGAGTATGAGTGAGAAAAGTGAAAATTCCTTTGGTTTTGTTGCTGCCAAGTTGGGATTCAGTTGAAATATTCAGTGAACAGGTATTTGGATCAAAAAGTATCTCTTAGAAGCTGTTTCTCTGTGGTCCCCATTGCAATGAGAGCTGTGGAAAAAGATGTGCAATCTTCGAAACCTGGCTGTAAAAGAAAATAAAAATTCTGGTCAGATTTATCTTAATTCATAACCTGCCAAGATGAATTCTAAATCAAGCTGCTGTATGTTACAGAGAGAGGAGGCTGATCTCATTTAATGTGCTGTAGACACTTCTTACATCGAAGGAAATACGAACGACGAAGCAGGATTATATTAAACTTGCTCAGCTGACCATCCTGCCTTCAGCAGAACAGTGGCATTTGCCACTGGTTCAAGATTTGCCCAAATTTGTTTGTTTGACCCCACTGATTTAGCTTTTATGTGACAGGCAGTTGTCACTCTTCTGAAGCCCATTTTAACATCAGTGCGAGAAAACAGTTCTGGTTGTTAGTCTATTTGATTTTTCTTTTTATTTCTTCTTTTTTCAGTTGCTGGTTATGGTGTCTGCTCTTTTAATCAAATGTAGCAGTAGTACATTTCCTGCTGGAACACTGTGTATGAAAGGGTTTGAGGTCATTCCTCCCCCAGTTTTTCTAGCTTTCATCTGTTACATGTATACTGATATCCTGTGTCTTTAATTTCTGTATTACTTTTTTTTTCAGAGGAGACACTTGACTAAATTTACATAAGACAAGTGAGTTGAAAGTAATTTGGTGTTTCAAGTAGCCCCACAAAAGGCACTTACATAATATCGTGAGTGTGCCAATAGACATTTGAGAAAAGACTGTGCTTTTTTGAGGCTTTAAAGTGAGATCTGAGGCTGTAGACTCAGTTGGAGAGTTTGTGCTTTTTTTTTTTTATCCATTGCTGTTGAAAAGTAAAGCATAAATTTGATTAATCTGAAATGATTAATCTACTTTCCAAAGGTTTTGAGGTTAGCGTTTCTGATCTTGTTCTGAATCATAGGACTCACCTTCTAGGACTCTCTCCAGTCGTGCTCTCCCATATGAAACATGATTGTCCTTCCGTGGCAGCCTGCAAAAACACTTCTTGGAATTCTGGTCTGTTGAAATTCTTCATTGCTTTGAAAGCAAACAAAAATTAAGTAATTGATTTTTTTCCAGGTTGATCATATAGTGTAGTGGGCTGTTAATATTTTCTGTTACGGCAACCAGCTAAGTTGTCATAATACCAGAAGAGTATAACACTAACCACAGGTAATGTATTCAGCAGTGCCAAGAGTTATAGAGAACAGACAATTTCTACCTTCTTGATGCATTGTGAGATACCCTCCCAGCAGAAGTCAACTTGATTTTAATTACTAGTTGAGTTTGGTTGTCCTTAAATAGTTGTTAGGTAAAGAGTTATAGGGAAGTTATGTAGTTCAGAAGTAAAAAAAAAAAAAGAGAGAAAAAAGTCTCTAGAACAGTCTGGAAAAGTTCTGTGCATCAGCTCTCAGTTACTGTGCTGACAAATCCGGCTGCGGTTGTTGCAGAGGTTTCCACCTCAGCCAGCCATCTGTCCCTTTGCCCAAGGCTCTCCAGTAGCAGAGGTGAGGGAAGGAACAGTTTTCAGGATGCTTTTCAGGATGTCTGCGCTGCCGCAGTCCAACTGACCTTGCTTTGAGTAGGACACCCTCATTTTCTCCTTGACAATAACCTCTGCTACTAATGCTTGTGAAGAATTTCTGGAAACAAGAATGAATGTATTTTTCGCTGGATTGGTTCCCAGAACCAACTTGCTGCCTGACCACATGGGAAATGTTCTGGGGTGAGTGGAAGGCAGTTTGGAGGGCAGAGCCACTGTAGCTGTGACCTATATGGACTTAAGCCATGACTGGTCCAAACTTTTGTTGCATAGTCCATCAGCTGTTAACATACACCTGTGCTGATTTGAATACTCATTACTACCAATCCAAGATCTCTGATTCGTGTTTTGTTTTGGACTTACCTATTATGACCAAAGAGAAGCCTGTCTGAAGGGCAGTAATGAAAAGAAATCACTCTGTGGCTGCTCTTCAAGGAATAATCGAATGAGGACAGATGTGCTTGTTTTCAGGGCAGCATATCGTGCTGCCTGAACCAGCAAATATGTCTTGCATTGCAGCATTATCTGGGGTACAGTACAGCCATAACTATTGTAAAGACCTGACATAGCCAAACCCAACATTTCTGGCATGAGTGGATCTTATGGAGTTGTTGGTTAGTTGCCTCACTTTGGACTGCTGTAGAACCACAGAGCACCTCTGAATTCCTCTCGCAAATGCTGTGTCTGATCTAGAAGAAATGTGGATGGAGCAGCTTACTGTGATAGTCAGAACATCTCTTTACACTTTGCTGTGCTTATTGCAGGTAGTGGCTGCCTTCAGCCTCCCTTCTTAATTTTGGCTGAGGCAACAATTTTTTTGTTTCGTTGGAAACAGATATAATTAAGAATAAAATGATTATCTTTCTGTGTTTACATATGGCTGTGAACTGAAAACTCATTAGCAAGTATTTATTCCTAGAGTAAAAAGTATTTTCAGTGGTTTTTTTTTTTTCTTATAGTTGGCAGTTTTCTCATTGCTCTTA